TTTATGAGTCTTTTTCTTCTGCTAATGATCTGCAAAATTTACAACATTATAATTCTTCCTATGTATATAAATCATCACATTCTTGGCATCATGAACAACTTAAGTTACTCTCCTCTTCAACAAACTCCTCATGGCATTTTTCACCTCTGTGTTTCTCACTGTGTAAATGATAGGATCTAACATGGGAGTGAGGATTATAAAGAACACACTCATCAACAGGTCCACAGAGTAAGTCTCCACAGGACATGTGTAGGTGAATATACAAGGGACAAAATAGAGCATCACTACTGTAAAGTGGGAGCCACATGTAGACAGAGCTTTGCGTCGTCCTTCAGCACCATGGGATTTCAGGGAGCTCAGGATAACTATGTAGGAGATGAGTAACATGAAAAAAATCAGTAAGCACATGCCCCCACTGTTAGCAGCCACCACAATGCCAAGCTTGTAAGTGTCACTGCAGGCCAGTTTTAACAGTGAGAAAAAGTCACACATAAAGTGGTCAATGACATTGGGACCACAGAAGGGCAAGTCAACAGTGAAAAGAATCTGCACAGTGGCATGTAGGATCCCCCCAATCCAGGCCACCACCACCAGGAGCTGGCAAAGCCGATGGCACATGATGGTCGTGTAGTGCAGAGGCTTGCAGATGGCCACATAGCGGTCATAGGCCATGACAACCAGGATGATGATCTCTGATCCTCCCAGGAAGTGTACCACAAAGAGCTGAGTCATGCAGCCACCCCAGGAGATGGTTTTCCTCTGGTAAAGCAAGTCAATGATCACTTTTGGGGTGGTGGCAGATGTATATATGGCATCGATTAAGGACAAGTAAGTGAGAAAGAAGTACATAGGAGCTGAAAGTGCAGGGCTGAGGGAGATGGTAATCACAATGAACAGATTGGCCAGCAGAGTGAATAGGAAAATGAGCAAAAAGACAATGAAAAGTATTTTTTGCAAGTGTGGATTCTGTGTGAGTCCCAAGAGAAGAAATTCAGTTACATTGTTGGGAGGTGTGAGGAGGTCCATTCAGCAAGTTCCACCTTCCTGGGGCCTGAATTATCTACAAGAATAAGGAATGATACTCATTAATAATAAAAGGATTGTGGTCTGAGTGTCTTGATACAAAACTAGAGCAGTCACTGTACCTGCTGAGCATGTCCTTGACACTCTTGCCTCAGTGCATGTTTCAGTTCTCTCTTACTTCCTCCATGATGTTTCCATCTCTTCAGACACCTAGTACCTGTCACCTGTAAAACATATATAGGGCAACATTTGATGGGTAATTTGAGAAAACCCTGGGCTGTCTATGTGAGATCTGGATTCCCTTTCTGGTTCCAACTCCATGTGTCTCTGGTACATCAGTTCTGTGTCCTCTGATTTTGAGCCCTCCTCTGTGTCTGTGAGGCTTCAAACTGTTATTGTCAGATGTATCTTGTAAGCTAAGAGGTGTTGCACACAGGAAAGAGATAGTTCCTCTTCCACGAGTATTCACATCTGAACCCTCAGCTCTAAGTGTGGAAAGAAAGACACCATGAATACAGATCTCCCATAAGCAGGCAGTTTAGGGAAATGTATATAAGTAGTGGGCAACAGGCTCTCCCTAGTACCTACCAGAACACATAAGCTATTTCAGGTGTGTTTCCTCACTGCACCTACCATACTGCCTGGCATGTCTGTGCTGCCTGAAACCTGTTAGGTGATCAGTAAGTGCTTGGTGAATTGCCATTCTCCGTGGGTGAGAATACACCTTCTTCCTCAGTCCATAAATCTACCAGGAATTCAAATGTCCTCATCCTCCTGCTCTG